CGGCGGCGGGGCGGCGGCGGCCATGGGGTGCCTGCAGAGCGTGGCCTGCAAGGCGCGCGTGCGGCGGGAGCACATCGTGGTGTCGGACGTGTCGGCCACCATCGAGCCGGCGGCCACGGCCATCGAGGAGAGCTCGCCCGTGGTGCTGCGCTACCGCACGCCCTACTTCCGCGCCTCGGCGCGCGTCCTCATGCCGCCCATCGCGCGCCGCCACACCTGGGTGGTGGGATGGATCCAGGCCTGCAACCACATGGAGTTCTACAACACGTACAGCGACCTCGGCGTGTGAGCAGCGGCGGCGCCCGGCGGGGTCGCGTTGGGTTCCTGCCTGCACGCTGGGCGCTGCTGTTCTCCCTCGGGATGCTCCCCTGGGAGCCCGAGGGCAGCCCGGGCCGCGGCCTTCCGGAGCGCGGTATCCCGAGGTGTTGCGAGGGGCAGCGCCTCCATGTGCAGGGCTCCAATGGGCCCTGCCTGCCTGGAGAAAAGGGGAAGCTTTGCCGTGTCCGCGGTGTTCCGGAAAGGCTGTGGGAAATGCGCTATTCCCAAGGGTAGGGCTGTGCCGGTGGGTCGGGAGGGTGCCGAGGAGCGAAGCTGTTGGTTCCGAGCAGGATTTTCCACCCTTTGAAACAGGTGATAGGAGAAGGGTGGGACACGTGGCCGCGGACGGGTGGGTGGATGTGTTCCTCAGTGCGCTGAGGGCTCCCGCTGTCGGTGCCCGGCCAAGCCGCAGCGGCGCACGGAGGTGTCGTGCAGGGTGCTGCGCTGCAGAGGGTCCCCCCGGGCCCCCAGAGCAGCCGCAGGCCCGTGATGGGCTGAGGCCGTGACTGCAGCGACCTGGTGCGTGTGGATAAGTGCTGAGGCCCCGGCCTGCTCCTGGGGACAGGCGGGAGCAGCGGCTCCACGACGGAGCTGCCCGTGCCCAGGCCTGTCCTCAGCTGCACTCCGGGTAACGCTGCTCTCCGATCAGCGCGTTGGTGCTGCGGGCGAGGGGACGTGCTGGTTAACCCAAGGGATGGGCGCTGGGCGCTGTTAGGCTGGGCCTGGCGCCGCAGGGAAGTCGCTCACGCGGGCTCTAGCCGAGCATCGTCGCTGTCACGCCGATAACGTGCCCTTTCTCTTTCCCTTCTCTAGATCGAGCTGGGAGCTGCCCGACCTGCGAGAGGGAAGAGTAAAAGCCATCAGCGATTCCGATGGAGTGAGCTACCCCTGGTATGGAAACACCACGGAGACTGTGACGCTGGTGGGGCCCACTAACAAGATCTCCAGGTTCTCGGTGAGCATGAATGACAATTTCTACCCCAGCGTGACGTGGGCTGTCCCCGTGAGCAACAGTAACGTGCCGCTGCTGACAAGGATTAAGAGGGACCAGAGCTTTACCACGTGGCTGGTGGCCATGAACACCACCACCAAGGAAAAGATCATCTTGCAGACTATAAAGTGGAGGATGCGAGTGGACATTGAGGTTGATCCCATGCAGCTCCTGGGGCAGCGGGCACGGCTGGTGGGAAGGACTCAGCAGGAGCAGCCGCGGATCCTGAGCAGGATGGAGCCCATCCCGCCAAACGCACTAGTGAAACCCAACGCCAACGATGCCCAAGTCCTCATGTGGAGACCCAAGCGAGGCCAGCCGATAGTCGTTATACCTCCGAAGTAGAGCAGCACCGGGGCGAGGACGGTGGTGCTGGCAGCGTGGTGCCAACGAGCGGGGTTTGTGAGCCGAGGCAGCCCTCCCGGGTCCGCTGGCCTTTGCGGCCGTGCTTGGCAATGCGGCGTTGGCTTAGTCGGGAAGAAAGCGTGAGCCTGGCCTGGCCAGTGCCAGCTCGTGGAAGAGGGATTGCTGAGCTGCCGAATCACCCCGAAGGCAGAATCGAGTGCTCCTCGGAGGCTGTGGCTGGGAAGGAGGCTCCTGCCCGAACAACTCCCGGGAAATGCGAGGAGCAAGCGTCCGATCAAGCCGTGCCTGTGGCAAATGCTGCTTTCCACCCAACTAGACGTCGAAGCGGAGGCCGTGCCCAGCGGGGGCCGTCGCCGCCGGGTCCCTACCTGAGCGCTGCCCTTGGGGGGAGTTTCCTTGGCCGCCTCCAAGCGGGACATTTTGCATGCGTCTCGGTGTGTTTGGAGTAGTTGTGAATGTAGGAGATGCCATAGTTCTTTTTCAGTCTTGGGTTGAAATCTAAGGGCAGGTTACATGTCCTGTAGTTTTAAGGTGCACTGAACCTTTGCAGTTCCTCCATCCCTTCCCCTCCCCACCCCTGCCAGCCCCGTTATTTTTCAGAAGCAAAAATACTTCTCTGCTGAAGGAGAAATCGCCTGTTTGCCCGGCCGGGGGAGCGCGGGCCGCCGCTGATCGCGTTTGCGTGGTACCCAGCGAGGCTTGGAGGTGCTCCAGGATCCAGGCGCTTCCGCCGCCGACGTAAGTCGGCTGTAGGAGGCCGGGCGCTCGCTCGCGTTGCGCGCAGATGCCCGCGCGCGTGGGGAGCCTCCTTCTTGGCCGCCCACGGACAGCAGGGAGTTGGCGTGGGCGCTCGGGGACCTGCGGGGTGCCCTAGCCCCCTGGGGACACCGTGCGGGTCCTGCCGCGAGCCGGCCATGCGGAGCAGAGGCTGCTGCGGGTGGGCCCTGGTGTGCGGCGGGGTTTGCACGGCCAGGTGCTCCCCGGGCACGACCTCGGGCCGGTGCAGATGCTGGGCAGATCACGGATTTATTTTTGTTTATTTCCCTGTGTTGCTTTCTCCTCGCTGCTCGCCCTTGCTTCGCTGCTGGGCTTGCTGGCATGATGCAGGTGCGTGGGGATGCGCACTCTCCTGCTCGCTCTGCCCTGGGAGCAGGATTTCCCCTCTTCCCTGTCCCCATCCCAGCAGGGAGGAGGGCTGGCACTTTAGCTGCTCCCCGGGACGCACCAGAGGCACAAGCCGCATCTGGGTTTGTGCGAGGCCGAGGGTTAGGGCTGGCCCGGGAGCGCGTGTCCCTCCCGTGCCGCTGCCTCCCGCCGTCGGCGCCGGGACCGGCGCCAGCGGCCGCCGCCGATTCCTGCACCGCTTCAGCCACCGCTTCCGCTGTTCCAGGGCGGGACGTGCATCCCGGAGCCGGTCTCCAGGAGGAAAGGGATTCCCTGGGAAGCTTAGACCCCAAATCCCTGGGATCACCCTGTGCTTTTATTACTCTCAGCAGTGTCTGCTACTGATTTTCCTTTTCCTTTGGGAAATGTCGAAGCCTCGACAGATATTCTCAAGTATTGCGGCCGGTCCTGCTGCTCCTGTTGGCCCTTGCGCAAGCAGAGGCCTTTGGGTCGGTAGCCTGGGAACCAGCCTGCTGATTTTGGTGCTTAGCTTGGGTTTTTTGGTGCCTAAGTTTGGCTTTAGGGGGGTCTGCATGAAGCCTTGTGGGGGAAAGGCTTGGAGAGGCAATATGCCACGAGCGGGGATTTATTGAGCAGAACTTCTGCAGGGAAACGGTCGGCATGGGGAAATATCCCGTTTTTGTGAGGTTCTGCCAGTGTTTTTATACTGATAGGTGATCAAAGGCGTTTTTGCCGTCGTTGATGTCTTGTTTATCAGGAGTGCGTGTGTGGAGGGGTGCTTTGGTCTGCAGAAATATGGAACACGCTTTTCAGTACAGCCGGGAGGAGCTTTCCGCTTGTGCAGAGCCGGGTGCACGTGTGTGTGTGTGACCCAGCGGGACAGGCGCCAGTCCGGCGCATCCTGCGGCCCCGAGCAGGGCGCTGGCCGGGGCTGCATCCCAAGTGCCGGGATTCCCCGCCGGCCTTCGCCAGGCGGTTCCAGCCACGCGGGGCTGCTCCGTGCCCACCCTTCCCGCGTCCCAACGAGGCGCAAGGCGAAGGCCGGGCCGCGGCGCCGTGCGGACGGCCCTGGGTGCTTTGCTGGGGGGCACGCGGCAGCCGGGCTCCCCTCGGCCGCGGCGCTCGCTCCCGTCCCCGCGCGTCGTCCATCGCTGCGGGGTGCCGAGCCGCCGGGCACCGCGGGGCGTCCCGGCGCCCTGAGCCCGCTCGCCAAGCAGCCCCGCGGCCCGTTCCTCCTTCAGCCGCTGTTCCTGGCGGGCTCCCCTCGCTTGCAGCCAGCCCCCGTTATCTCAGGGACGGGAGGGCCGCAGGAGCGCCCGGTGCCTGTGCCCTCGGGGTGCCCTCGCGGGCAGGTCCCGCCACCCACGCCCGGCTCCGCCGCCGCCTCCGCCCGCGCTCGGAGCGTCCGCCCCCGTCCTCGCCGTGTGCTGGGCGCCTTTATTTATTTATTCGTATTTATTGCAGTTTATTTATTCGTATTTATTGACGGCTGGGATGTGGGGTCTGTCGGTGCGGGCGGCTGGGCCTGCCGCGCGCCGCAGGGCTCCGTGTCTCTGGGTCACCTCCTGCCATCTCCCGGCCCCCTCTGTCCAGGCCAGGGAGAGCCGGGCAGGAGGAGCCGGGATTCACGGAGGTGCCTGCAGGGAGGACAGTCCGGGCCTGTCCTCTTCTTGCAGAAGCCCCTTTGGCCCCTTCACGGGCACTGTGCTTCCTCCTGTGCCCACATTGGCCCAAATATATCTATATATATGTGTATACTTACATATACACATATATATACGTGCCCCTGTTTATTGGCCCGGCCTTCCCGTGTTTTTTTGTTTGGCTCACGCTGTATTTGATGTTGCCAATTTCCGGAGATGGTGATAAAAGCACGAACGTGTGGGTGTCACTATGGAGAAAAGACAAAAATCAGGTATTCTGCTGCCGTGTGGGGAAAACCAGAAGGAAGAGAAGACGAAAGCTGGTTTTGCAGAGTGCCTTAAACACAAATGACTTTACCGAGTTAGGGGGCTTGGGCTCTTCTGTCTTTGGATGTTATTACGAACTCGAACAAATGTTGCATTTCACTTCTCTGGGATTAAAAGACGAATATTGAATCCGTCCCGGAATGGCGCTGTGTTTCCTTGAATAGGTCTGGTTCCTGAGCCGGGGCTTCGGGGGAGCCCCCCGAAAGCTGTGGGGCAGAGTCCCCGTGTCCTTGGGCACGTGTGGCCCGGGCTGCTGCCCGGCCAGCTCCGACCCACTGCCCTTGTGGCTCTGTGGCCTGGCCGGGAGCTGCCTCGCTCGCCAGAAACTCGATGGGAAAATCCCCTTGGGAAGGGCAGGTTCTCCCCTGCTTCTTGCATAGGGGAGAAAGGGGGAACAGGATTCAACCCAGAGACCGTGCAGTGTTTTTCCTCTGCAGTCTTCTAGGAAAAACAATAAATGAGGATAATATAGAATTTCATAGTGAAGGTTAATTTAGAGGAAAAATCCACCAACGGGGGAAATAAGAGCAGCTGAAGCATTTGGGGAAAATACAAATGTTTGCAATGTATTTTCCGAAAGCCATTAAATATTTATTATGTTTATTATTAGGTAATGAAAGGAATTGTCAGCCCTGCTGGTGTGCTAGGGATGGCGTTTGGCCCAGTGGGCACCAGGCAGGAGCTGGTGGCTGAATGTTGTCCCGGGATGGCCGGGCTGTATCCCGGCGGAGGGGAAGCTGGATGCGGCTCCTGCTGCAGGATTAGGCTCTTTCCCGGGGCTGGAGGTGCCTCCCTGGCGCTGCACAGGGAAGGAGGCAGTGCAGTCCCCAGCAGTGAGCCTCAGCCCTACTGCTGCCCTCGTGCTGCGCGGGGACATTTGTGCCCTGCGCGGGCTGCTTTCTTTGACAGCTGCTTGTTTTAAGTGTCGCTGCTCTCGCTGGGCACCAAAGGATGCTGGTGGGCAGCCCACGTGGTATTTGGTGAGTGGGGGCCTCGGGGGGAGTTTGCAAATCCTGCCTGGGGGCTTTGCCCTGTGCAAAGGGGCCTCTTCCCAGGTAGGAGCTGCGGTCACCGAGACCAGGGAGAGGGTCTAAATGGGCTTTGGGACAAACAGGACTGTCACCCAGCACGTACTGGGGTGGCACGGCCCTGTGGGGCAGCTCCCTGGCCCAGGGGCTGCAGGGAGCGTGCCAGGAGCAGGAGGGCCTTGGCTAACCAAGGGGTGCAAGGTAGGCACTGGGCTCAGGGACGGGCTCCCAAGCAAACAAGGGGCTGAGGCCTTTGGAAAAGGGTCTTTCCCAAGTGCTTTCTTTACAGAGCAAGTCCGAGGGCAACCCAGGGCATGGCCCTCCATGGAGGAGCGTGGACATCCCAAGCACCGGCCACAGTGAGGAAACCCTTCAGGGATGAAGCCGCAGTGCCACCCGCGCGCCAGCACGGGCACAGATGAGGGAAGCTGCACGTAGTTCTGACGAGTGCTTTATTTGCTCTATCCCATCATCCAGAAAACCTGAAAACATCAGTCAGCTTTCAGCAAGGGCCAGCAGTGAGAAGCACGGGTGCTGCAGCTCCTCCCCGACATGTGGCAACAACGAGAGGTTAGTGAGTTAGTGAGAGGGAAGGCGCTCAGCAGCCTGCAGCCCTCTAAGCTCCCACGCACGAACCCACCAGAGAAGCCCTCCACGGCCCGGCTGCTGCCCCACGCTTCTTGCTCCAGGGCCAGTGTGGCCAGCACTGAAGAGGAGAGATTGCTGCAGTGGCCAGGGGCTCCCGCGAGCCTGCTGAGCCCTGCTGAGCTGAGTTAAGGCAAGAAACACCCAGGCTTTTCAATCTGAGAAGATGTGCAGGACAAAGGGGATGGGGAGCATGGGTTTAGTTAGCATGGGGATCTAACACCAGTGTGATGCTACGAGGGTGCTGACGGGGCGGCGTCGGGACGCAGGAGCCCTGGGCGAGCGGGACTCCAGGTGTGGCCAGGGAAGGCTCCGATGCCGCGCGGAGCCGCTCACTCCGGCTGCGGCGTGTAACGCAGGTACTTCTTGCCTGACGGCAGCTCCTTCGTGAAGATTCCCTTGGGGAAGAGCTTCTTGGCTTCGTCCTCAGGTAAGGTTGGAATCACCATGACGCTGTCGCCAGGCTGGGGGGGAAATGGGAAGCGTGAGAGCAGTGGGGGGACTGGCAGGTTTAGCTGCAGGTGGCATGTGCCCGCTGGGCACCAGGCTAGGGCTTGGGTGGGTATCTGCTGGGCAAGGTGGGCCTGTGCCCACATTGGTCTTTCCTGGTTCAACGGGAGCAGAAGGGTGTGTGAACCCTGGCAGCTGCTACCTTGTGCCTGCTGCTCTCTTGGTTTGTGGCACTGACCCTGAGTGGAGTTTGGCCTGGCAGCTGACACCAGTAACGCCCTTCCTTATACCAACACGGGTAGGAGCTGCCTTGCCTCCACATACTGATAACCCACGGGGAGGGCTCTGGTAGCCCTGCCTATGGCCCTGGAGCCCGTGCTGGGATCTGGCTTGGGTCTCAGTAGCTCCCCTGACGTTGCAGCCCTGCAAGGGGGTGGCTGATGTTTCAGTGCCTCTCTGCATGGTCTGCCCGCCGCCGTGCTGGGCTGCAGGCTCTGCTCCCCTCCTCACCTTCCAGTTCACAGGGGTGGCCACCTTCTTGTATGCTGTCAGCTGCAGTGAGTCCACCACTCTCAGGATCTCATCAAAGTTTCTCCCAGTGGTGGCCGGGTAGAGGATGGAGAGTTTCAGCTTCTTATCCGGGCCAAAAACGAACACCTGAGCAAAGGGAGACAAGGTCAGGCTCCTGAGCACCCTCGGCGTTGAGTCCATGTCCTGCTGCTGCGCTGCATCTGCCCAGCCCTCCAGTTCCTCCCTTCTCCCAGGAGGTGTCCCCATTTGCTCACTGCTCCTTGGGACTGCAGAGACACCCTGGTGAGGATCTCCTAGAACAACCAGTGTCACCTACCCCAGCACAGGGAACACAGTGCTTTTTTCTGAGAATGTGTTTCAAACACCAGGTTGTTTCACTGTTTGAAACAAACCCTCCCCAACCCAACCCGTGTTTCTCCTAGTGCAAGTGCTGGTGGGGACAGCGAAAGCGCAGCATATCAAGGACTTGGTGGCAACAGCGAGACAGAGCCATTGCCACACAAGGCTGTGCCAAGCCTTTATGTGCAGCACAACCCAGGGAAGCCACCCCAGCTCCTGAGGACGGCCCTGTCCACGCAGGTCGGCTGCTCCCATCTCCACGTGGCAGGCAGGGCAGGATGGCAGCTCCTGCCCCGTGCTGCCCGGGCGGGCACTCACCACGCGGGCAGTGAGGGGCATGCCGTCCTTGTCCCGCTCGTCGGGGTCCAGCATGCCCAGCTTGACGGCGAGCTCCCGCTTGGCGTCGGCAATGATGGGGAAGGGCAGCGTCTGCTCAGGCTGGTCCCCGTTGTAGGCGTTGATGTCCTGCAGGGAGAAGCCGGTGGCATGTTCACGCCCCCCATCCTGGGTGCCATCGCGGAGAGCAAGGCCTGGCTCCATGCATGCTGCATGTACCCCAGCCGTGCCCAGTTCTGCCTGGACACACAGAAGCAGGAAAAGTCCTGCCGGTGCTGGAGACACGCAGGGATTTACCCACCTTGCTCTGAGGAGGGAGGCCCCTCTCCCAGAGCATGAGCCAGCATAAGTGACATGCGATACAGCATCTGAACTGGACAGCACTCTTAAAGAGCAGCTTTTTTCCTAGTGATAGAGCAAACCAGTGACCCTAGAGCTGACAAATGGGAAATAGCTGAGCGCATATGCTGGGTTACATCATGATTTTGTGTGAATGGTAGCTAGGAACAGGAGAGAAAACAAGACCTTCATCAGCTGCCTACGCTCTCCCTCACGACCTTGGCCTATGAGGTTGCTCCCCATGCTAGTCCAAACTTTGTCTGTATTACTGTGAATCTCTATTTTTAGCCTCTCTGAAACTGGTCTGGATTCAGTCAAAACATGCAAGTTTTCCTGGTAATCGGGGACAGCTCCCATATGGATTGGACGGAGCCACAGCAGGGCTGGGAGCAGCCTGCTCAAGGCAGCACAAGCAGAGCAGCTGGCAGCATTAAAGCAAATGAGAACCCAAGGTCACCGCCCCAAAACAGAGCGATCTTTTCTTTCCGTCCTCCTTTTGCTACAAGGGAACAAAGCCACCTCCAGCGCTGACCTAACCTGCTGCCCAGCACTGTGCTGAGCTATGGGCTGAGCCGGCTGTGTGAGCGTGCGAGTCCCTGCCTCCCTCAGGCCTTGAAGGAAGGGGAACAAGCTGGGCCTTGCTCAGGGGCAAGGCAGGGAAGAAGAGGCTGGAAATGCTGCCCCTTGGCACTGCCAATGGCACTGACTGTCCCACAGGCAGCAAGAGCAGGCAGGTCCAGCTCTCCAGGCTGATGATGCAGGGGGCTGTAACCCTGCCCTGCTGAGCGCTGGCAGCTCAGGATGCTGCAAGCAGGGTTGCACGTGCAAGGGGGCTTCCTCTGCAGCGTTTCATTTGCTTTGTTGCCAGAGCCTTCACAGGCCAGCACTGCACTGCCACTGCCCTGGCCGCTCATCTCGGGTGAGCTGCGGGCGCTTCCCAGTCGAGAGCTGCACGTGCACCCAGCCCTACAGAGCCAGCTGAGGCCAGCAGTGTGTTTCTGCTTGCCTCAACTAGCAGCGCCTTCCTTGCAGCCACAGGGCCAGCCAGCTGGACACTGAAGACAGGAGCAGGACATTCCCTCACGCTGCCTTGAGCATTGAAAAATGCCTTAGGAGGACGGAGTTCCTTGGCTGACCCTTAGACATTGTCTGCTCTTACTCCTTCCACATTCCCAGAAGGTTTCTGACCTCCTCTGCAGCAGAAGGTTCACAGACAGACCTTTCTTGCAACTTATGAAGTTTATGAGGGTCAAACCTATCTTCTGTTCAACAAAGCAGAAAGCAGAGGCAGAAGCAAGCGATTCCAGCAGGCCCACAGCATGGGAGGTACCTCTCTCTATACCAGCCTCTTGCAGGAGTGAGAATCAGCAGCTGAAACAAGCATAGGAGGCTCTGCTATGCTCAGTGTACAGACCAAGTCTTGCAGGAGCAGCAGTCACTCACTACCTCAAGCTGAATTAGTTTCTTCTTCAAAGATAACCCAACTTTCCTTTGCTTTTGTGCCTGCTTCCCTACAAGCATTGGCCAGTTTGTGCCTGCTGTGCTGTGTCTGCTGGCTTGAAAACTGTGAGCAGAGCTTCTCTGGGATGTGCTCTCACATTTTCTGACTTACTTTCTCCTAACTCACCTCCTTGAAGAGCTGCAAGAAGAAATCCTGTACCAGGACAGGACACCAGCACTTTGGCTGTTGCAATTCAGCAGCAGAGTGCCATATTACACATTTCCAAAGTCCTGAGACTTACTACAAAATTTTTCTCACAGGCCCCAGGAAGGAAAGTGGTTTAATGAGTAAAGAGGAGCTGCTGTGGACTTCTACCTGAGCGTGCACAGTTTGATTTGGAAGGGATTTAAAAAAAAAAGTGTTTTGCAATCTCAGTTCAACTGTTTGCAACAGCATCTACTGCTTCAATTGCATAAGAGAAGAGGGAAAGCACTCTAATATGCTGCATGTCCTGCTCAGAGCAGAAGTCCTGCTCCTTCCCAGACTCAGACAGCCTACCAGCACACTAACACTGCCAGGAAACCCACCAGTCAAGATTTAAACGAATAAAGGTTTTCTCCTTTAGCACCGTATCAGCACCTCTGCTCTCCACGTGAGAGCTCATCTTTGGGATTTCTACATCACAAATCATAAGTCTATCTGAAAAGTCTCCTCTGTGTGGAGCAGTTCAAGTTGCGCAGCACTAACCTTTCTTGCTGCAGCACTCTTGATGGCACACTGAAAGGGGAGAAAGGGGAAAGAAGCCCTTGGCATGAAACTCTGCTATACAATGGAAAGCACTTCTGAAAAGCAATAATCAAATCCTGCTGATTATAACTCATTCCAAAACGCACATAACTTCATCACCCGGAGGATCGCTGCACAAAACAGTGCCATAAACCCTACCCTCTTGTGCAACAGGACACCAGAGTCATTCACTTCCCTACAAACTACTTTTATTTCCAGAGTTCAAGCTGAAACCACACACTAAGAGGAGATTTATTCACCCCTGACTCACCAAGCATAATGCACTGGTGACTAAAGAGAGCACTGAAACCTCCTCTGACATGAGCAGCACATGCCCATCACCTGCAGTGACTGCTGGGCTCACAGGAGAAGACGACTCTCTACGTGCCATGGAGCAGGTGCCCTGGTTAAGCAGAGGTTTCTCTGCTGGTTTGTGCAAAATTTTAGCCACCCATACCTTGCTGCCCGTTTGCTCTCTTGCAGGCTGTGCTCTGGATGAAAACAGCTTCTTCCTCTCTGTACTGTCAGTAGCTTCGTGCAAAGGGAAAGTGTGGCCGTATAGAGAATGGTCACACAGAAACCTAACTGCAAAAGCTTTGCTTGTCTCAAGGACTTCTCTCCAGGATGAGATTTAGGGAAAGAAGCTGCAGTTTTTCCATCTCAGCCGAACATTTCAAGCTGACTTCTTTTGTCCTGATAGGCATCTGCTGCTAGGTCTTGGTATATCTCAGTTTAAACTCTCTTTCTCTGTGGTTGGGCAGGAGAACCTTTGGGGCACTGGCCCTAGCTCAGACTTCCAGCAGGCCTTACGTGCTGCCTTCCTAGTTCTTCTCTTTGCCTCTCTGTGTATTTCAAGTTCTTCTCTGCTTTGTCAAGGACCTCTCCTAGCTTTTCAAACATGTGACACGATGTTAACAAATGGCACTGAGCTATTCCAAACATTCGAGGAGCATTTTCCCCACTCTGTCTGCCTGCTGCATCTAAACCTTTTCTTGTTCCCCTGTAGTGAGTGAGATAGGTGATTTTAAACACAGGCTGCATGAGAGAGTCAAATACACTACAGATTTATCCACACCAATGTGAACGTTTCCTCTAGCTGCGTTCAACAGTTCTCTCCTTTTCACAGATCCCAAGGTGACATTTCTAAACCTCTGTCTCCAAGTCCCCTCCCTACCCCGATGGAAAGTTCACCCAGCGATGCACAGCTCATGTTGCTGCCCTCCCCTTCCTCTGCAGTTGTCCTGGAAGGCTTTCCAAACCTGCTCTTCTGTCTCCCATCAGTCAGCACTTGGAAGCTGTTCAGCAACTCCTGGTTTTACCCGAGGCCCTGCTGAATAATCCTGTAGCGTCAGCAAACTCAGCTCGTTGTTCACCTCTTTTTGAATCATCTGAGTATGTTCAAGCATTCCCCTCCCTGCAGACCCAGGGGAAGCTCAGTGCTGCCTTCCCTTCCCCAACACCTCACAGCAAGAATGGACAAGACAGCCTTCCCTTTCACAGTGGATTTTGTTTGAGATTCTTGCAAATTTAAGGCTTTTATAGTCGGCAACATCCCTACAGCCCTTCCAAATGAAACCAGATGAGGTTGCCTTACAAAATCCAACTCAAAACCTTGTGTTACGCTTAATGAAACTCATCTGCTAACTCAGCTGGTAGTTCTGGCTCACATCTGCCATGCTCCGTTCAGGTACGAAGGCCAATTTAAGCAACGGGGAGTGACCGGGCAGTTTCTACAGCAAATCAAACACGAACTCTCAAACATGAACTAACATTTGAGTGGGGAAGCTGCTCATCTTTACCAACCCTCTCAATGCACACAAGCACCACCAGCCCCATCCAAATCACGTGAAAATGTCCCAAGTTCCGAAGTTAACACAGGAGTTAGCACACCATTGCTGAGGCTCCATTTCAAGGTTTTCATCAGTCTCCTTTTTGTTCCTTTAGCAAGTTGGTTTTTTTTTTCTCCCTTACTGTGGTTTTATATTTAACATGCTCCTCCTTGTGGTTTTATGTTTAACATGCCCAACATGCCCCTGTTTGTTCTGTTTTTTCTCTCTCCCCTTCTCCCTGCCTGGACATGAACAGTAGCCTTTGAAGCTATTCAGTTCTCATGCCTTTACTTCCCTGTTTTACTGCACAGCTTTTTTAGAGTTTGTGGACCAATTACCTTCCTCTGAGCCACTGGCACTGCCCCATACACTCTGCATGTGTTTCACCCTTGTTGGTGCTTGAAGGGGAGCAGTGTTAGTGCTTTCACCTTGTTGCAAAGCGTCAGGGCACAGGGGGTCTGCAGTACTTGCTCACACACTGAGCTCGCTTAACTGAACTGTAAGCCGGTCCTATCAAGTGTGTCTTGGTGTTTAACTGAAGTGCCTGCCACAGGAGCATGGCCAGCCACATTACTTTGTATGTCTTGTTTTCTGGACCTGCCAGCTGCACAGAAACCCATGTGCTCGAGCCAACTTTTGGCCTGCTCCCAAAAGCAGGACGTCTGTGCAGACCTCTCTACTGTTCCTGTTTTGAATTTAGCATCCCCTGTCCTATGTGCTTTGGGATCCAAATACCTCACAGACCTCAGGTGTTTATTTCCCAGCAGGTGCTCATCTCTTGGGAGCCTCTCCCCGGTCCCTGGTGGGAGCATTCCCCTACCTTGCTCCAGCCGAGGTGGTCCTCCACGCTGTCGATGGAGAGGGCGATCATCTTCACGTTGCGCTTGCTGAACTCCGGCGCCAGCTTCGCAGCCTGGCCCAGCTCCGTGGTGCACACGGGCGTGAAGTCCCGCGGGTGCGAGAAGAGGATGCCCCATCTGCAAAGAAGAGGACAGGAGGCCGCGTGAGGGGCACCGCGTGGACGTCAGACAGAGGCCAAAGGCAGCGGATAAGGGACAGCCTTTATCCCTGCTAAGGGCAGAAGGAAATCCTGGCCCAGGAGCAACCTCCCTGGAAGCCTTCACAAGAGAAGCCCCACTCATCGTGCTCTGACAAACACCAGCCTCGCTCCTCCTCAAGGGATAGCCCGCATTTCCCAAAGCGGAGACGGACACGAGAGCAAGAACCTGTGTTCTGCAAGAACCATGTGTATGTGCCACCCACCCAAGCCACACAGATGCCAACCTGCAAGTCATGTTGTTATGAAGACTGTTCCTGGTTTATAAAGCTCATCTTTACTACGTTGTGCACCTCATAAGTCACCATGAGGAAAAATACCCATTTTTTCAGGCAACTTAAAGGAAGAGGATAGGACTGGACCTTAACCCAGCTGCTGCTGTGAACACCCAAATGTACTTAATTAAAAATTAAGAATTAATCAATGAAGAGTGGATGCTAGAAGGCAACATTACATTATGACTGCAGCTTTAACAATATTGTCACCTTGCTATCGCCCAGCACTTGCCATCAGTGGATTTTGTAGGCTTTACAAAGCAGGTGAATACTACACATCCCATTTTACAGATGAGGAAACTGAGGCACAGAGAAAGGCAGCAACACACACAGCTTACTGTGGCCAGCAACCAGATGCAAACAGGACTCGTGTCCGCCAGGCCTCTGATCACAACGCTGTGCTGCAATTAGCTGTAATCCCTGCGGTTCATGACAGACCAGCTTGTAACTCTCAGGAGTTTCCAGAGGCTAATTCAAGACCAGAGCCCAGCACTTAAAAATTTCTGCCCAGGAACTGCATCATTTCTAGGCAAAACCATAGCCCAGTGTGTACAGGTCTTACTGCACAGCTTGTCTCCTGGCCCCAGCAGATGCAGCCGTGTGTCCCAGCAGCTGAAGGAAGTCCCGATTCAGTGGTTTGCAGCTGGAGGGATGAAGCCAGGTACCCTGCAGCCCTGTGCAATCACCCTGGCTCTTAATGGACTCACGGGGCAGCGACGCAGCCGCTGGCATGACCCTGTCCCTTACACAACGTTATACTGCCTGAATAAAAAAAAGGCAGCAAACCGCTGAGTAGAGGCTGGCCGAGGAGCTGGCCGGGCACACAATTAGGCTGGAACAGCCAGTTCCCAAACGCCCTGCAAGCAAACACCTCCTTTTCTCACTGAAGCTAACAGGTTTCCTTTTTATCTTGTTTGCCCAGCTCCGCAGCGCTGCAAGGAGAGGGCTGAAAGCGGCGCCCCGAGCGTGCCAAGCGCTGCGGGGAGCCCGTGCCCGCGGCGCGGTGCCAGCCCGGCGCGCTGCGCGTGCCCGGCGCTTGCAGGACGCGGCGCCCGCCTTGCCTCGCCTCCGTGACACCCGTGGGGACGCACGCGAGAGCCGAGCGGAGCGCCCGCCGGCCCGGGCTCTGCTCCGTGCTCCGGCAAAAGCCTGGTGCCGATGGAGCGGGTGGCTTGGGAAGCGGCAGGAGACCCTGGAGTTGAAGGCGGCAGCGAGGGCTCGGTGCACTTGGGGCCCCCAAGGCCTGGCTCTCCGAGCGCTGAATACAGCCAGCTCCCTGGGAGCCTGTGTCCCACATGGCTGTTCAGACGGGGCAGGGGCTCCTCCTTGGGAGCACAGTGCCAGGGTCATTCCCCCTCCCTTAAATCACCCGCCCCGTTCACGCCGAGTGCTCCTTGGGTGCTTTCCAGCATTCAGCATCTCAGCATTCAGCACCTGGGAGCCAAGAAGCAGACACGGGGCTGGAAAGGGAGAGCGATATCCCGCTCTGCTCCGGCCACGGTGCAGCCGTGGGCAGGACGGTGCCCGGGACGGTGCCGGCTTCACCGTGACTGTACGGGGCAGGTCCAGGGGCTTGGCCCTGTGCTGTGGGTATGGACCTGCCCGCTATGCTCCCAGAGCACGTAGTTCTCCTGGGGGAGCACAGGTTGTTCCCGGCCCACGGGATCTGCTCTTCGGAGCTCGGGCTGCTGAAGGAGACATCAGGAAAGTCAGCAGAAGGCAGCAAGGAGGCAACACTGGAGGGCTCCTACTGTGTAACTCGCACCACGGGAACTTATTAGTTATCCAGCACAGACTGAGAACAAGTGCTGGAAGCTCCCGCCCTGCCACAGGCTCCTTGGGAACGTTTTGCCATGTGATCCGGGGAAACAGATGGGTTTTTGTTCAGGATCTCAGGGTTTCTCTCTGCACAGAGCAAAGGCTTAGGGGGAGTCCAGGGGCTCCAGGCGGCTCCCCGCGGGACGGCGCTTTGGCTGCCGGGCTCTCCGCGGGATCCCAGTACCCTGGAACCACGGGGCTCCTTGTCCCTACGCTCCCAGGGAATCCCCGCGCGCTTGATCTCCAAGGGTTCCTGTGGATCCGGATGGATGGGATCCCAGTGCTGGTGGCTCCTGGGGGTCCAGGTCCTGGGGGACCCCGGGGTGCCAAGACACCAGCTCCAGAGAATCCCATTCCCGGGAGAACCCGATTCCGGGCTCCTGGAGCACCTGATTGTGGAGATCTCCAGGGGACCCAGGAAATTCCAGGAGATCCCAATCTCGGAGGGCATCCATGCATCCTGATCCCGCCCATGTATCCCGATCCTGGGGCCAGGCCACCCGATCCCCGATAGCTCCAGAGGATCCCGATCCCGGGGACTCGGTCCTGGGGATCTCTGGGATGCCAGCCCCGGGACCCCAGGAACCCGCCCGCCCCGCCGCTCACGAGTCTCCCAGGAAGTCGTGGAAGCGGATGCGGCCGTGCGTGGTGTCGGCCTCGAAGTTGGGCGCCTCGTCGCCCAGCAGCAGCCCCGGCATGGCGGCGCGCGCGCCCCTGCGTCACGGCACGGCACGCCACGGCACGGCGCGAGTGGCGCGCGCGGCCGCGGCGGGGGGCGGCACGCGCATGCGCACGCGCCCAGCCAGGCCACGCCCCCGCCCGCCGCCGCCGGTCACGTGTCTCCCGTGGCGCTCTGCGGCTCGGCGGGAGGCGGCTGCCCGGCGGCCGCCATGGCGACCTACGTGAGCGAGCTGGAGGCGGCCAAGAAGAGCCTGAGCGAGGCGCTGGGCGAGAACGTGAAGCAGTGAGTGCGGCCGGTACCGGTACTGGTACCGGTACCGGTACCGCTCCCGGGCCCGCTCTCGGTCCCGCGGCGGGCCGGGCCCCGGGCGGCGGGTGACGCAGCTCCTCTCGCCCGCAGGTACTGGGCCAACCTCAAGCTGTGGTTCAAGCAGAAGATCAGCAAGGAGGAGTTCGACCTGGAGGCGCGGCGGCTGCTCACGCAGGACAACGGTGAGCGGCGGCGCCGGGGCCTCCCCGCTGCCCTCCCCTCATCCCGCCCTTCCCAGCCCGTCCTTCCAGCTGCCCCGCCAGGGAGCTGCATCCCACCGGGAAGCCTCGCCCTCCCACTGCCAGCCCCCGTGCGTCTTTGCCTCGTTTTTGCTTTGTTTGGGATTTTTTTCTTAGTGAAACTAAAAGCTGTGCTGCCGGGAATCTCCCCCGGAGAGGGGAAGTGGATGCTCCCTGGTTTATATGGATGTTTCCTGGTTGAATACACCGTGTTGTCCACTTCAGGAATGGGTTCCTGTAACTCACGTGGTGAAGTGGCCTGAAGTGACCTTTTTGTGCCCTGAAATAAAGCACCTTTTGCTAGGGTGAGAAGCTTCTCCCACAGAAGTTAGGGGTCAAATGAGGAAAAATAAATCGCTGAAAGTGAGCTGCTTTGGGCTTGCTGCACTGTGTGTTGCTAATGGAATGTCTGTCTCTATGCAGTCCATTCTCACAACGATTTCCTCCTGGCGATCCTGACCCGATGCCAGATCTTGGTTTCTGCACCAGGTAAGTCCCAAGAAGATTCATTTAATATAACAAAATAGCAGAGCTTTCACACATCTATGTTTTAGTGTTGTTCTTAAAAATATGTACATATGTGTGTGTGTATATATATATATATATGGTATTCTAACTCTGTGGGCCTCAATATGTATGTTGCTTTTGCCATGTAGTAGCAGCTGTGTTGGGTAACGCTGATCCAGATGATTTGAGTAGAGACACTTTGATAAGCAAGTTGTGCTCCCGAGTGGGGCCTCTGCCCTTGTTGCAGTCTGCTGCTTCAACCTCTGTATTGGGTAACTGTTGGGTCGCAAATGCTGAGAGCCTAAGTGTGAAGGGAGATGCTGCTTTGCTGCCTTTGATCTGCTCCACTTATCGCTTCCTATTTCTTCTGGACTTGGCCATACTTTTGTATTCCCCTTTGATGGGGATAACATCATGGGGGAGATGGATTTTCCTGATGATCTTGGAATCAAGTATGTATGTGATAGAAAAATGCTTGCTGCAGATGCTTACAGTAAAGGCTTAATTGAGCCATAGCTGATTACTTCAACCCTCCACAGCTGTGATAATTCAGCTTTTAACTCTCTACGTGTTTAGAAAGGCTCTTGTCAGTATGGCAACTCTTTTGAAGGTTGAGCAGAGTATTGTTCCTCTCAGATCTCTAGATGGAGATAATTGAACTGCAATTTAGAATGTGAAAATGTTGTGTGGTTAGGGAGAAAAGAGAGCGCCTGATGAAGCTGGAGGAAGGAAAAACGCCAAGTTTATGGCAACAACAACCCTTGAGTCATAGCGTTTCCTCAGTGTTCCAGCTGGGATAATAAAATACAATTTCCCGTCTCAGAAATTGCTTTGTCCTTAGCTTTCCAGGCACCTTTTCTTGAGTCCCAACCTAGTTCTCTTTAGGTGGCTGCACTCATGTAATTCAGAAAATTAATGTATAAATTTGGCTGCTTGTTACTTGTGCCTTACAGTGTTGGGTTATAAAACGGATGTCAAGAGTAGCAATTCTGCTGAGTTTTAACCTGAAACAGCAGTGTGTAGCAATGCCCTGTGTCTGAAAATCTTTATTCTTAGTTCTATGATGATGGCTGTTAGTGATTATATCCTAATGAGAGTCCATAAAATACTTGATAGGATACAAATGCTAATAATAGGGCTATAATACAGTGAAGCTCCCCTGTTGCATGTTGAATAGTATGTGGTTCATATAGGCTGAGATTAGGCATTGCTTTTTGTTTGTTGTTTTCCTTAAGCACTTTCCAGTTGTTTTCTGAACCTATAATACTAAAAGCTCACTCGGTATTTTACGTTTTCAAGTGTCTGTAGGTGTCTAGGAATGTGATAAAAAGGAGTCCCACAAAAAGCAGTGTTGTGCTCCTGGGTACCTACCATATGCTGTCAAAACTACTCATTCTTTATTACTTTTTAAAATTTCAAGTCTTTGCAAGGACTTTGCTTGTCCTATTTGAGCTCAGCTTCTCTAAGAGTTCTTGAAGAGCCCTGCTTTGTAATGATACAACAGCGTGTAACCAAGCGCTGCTGCTAGCTGAGCAGCTACCTTGCTAAGTGCTGACTAGCTGCCGACCTCCAGTGCTTCAAGGAGGGCTTTTCTGTTGACTTGGTGCCTGCAGTTTTGCACAAACCATCTTGAAGACAAATCATATCCATGACTTGGATATGGTTTGATCATATCCGTGTTTGTAAGACACACTTTGTTACCATCATGTCCTGTTAACTGCTGAGCAGTCTCTTCTGTAGTCTCTCTGTTGTCATCTCAGTTATTCTCAGATTTGTGCAAATTCTTCCAAGGCTTCTGGAGCTGATCTGTGCTCAGACACTTCAGTCTGGGCCCTCATTGACTGACTAACTGCAAGAGCTATTACACGTGTATTTTACTAGACAGGCTCCTCTGCACAACTCACCAAGTTGTGCATGCAAATGCAGGCAAGTTCAGTACAAATGGGATACTGGGTGATGTGTCTAGAGATATTTTGCCTTGATACCCATCTGACATCTCTGTAGGAGGAAAGCTAATAAGAGTCCTGTTTCCACCACTGTCTATTAAGTGCAAAGGTGTTCACCTAGTGATTCATGGCAACTAATAATTTTAAAGTGCACCTGATGTGCTTGGCATGTTATCACAGGTATTGCTGATGCATGTAGTTTTCATCATCCTGAGGCAGGGAGGGAAAAAACCATCTTTAAAATGCTATTTCATATTAAATTTAAAAGAAAAGTGGGGGCAGTATTATAAGCATGCCTGATATTGTCATGTTCAGAGTAGGAAGCTTTGGAGAATGTATGGTTTGACAGGTATAGAAACGCCAGCAAACCAGTCTTACCCAGATTTTGGTGCATCTGGTAACTGTGGTTATACATGGGCTTAGCCTTGAACACTGGGCGTGTGTGACCCTTTGGCAAGACAGAAGTCTCTCCGTTTCACTCCTTATCTGCTTAGGCTGTTGCTCACACAAACTTCAATTCCAATTTAAAACCCTGTGTGACACAGGATGTTCAGGGCTTGGTCATGGAGAGGAGGGAGGGCTCTCAGGTGTGAAGGATAATCAATTATCTTTAAGATATGCTCAGCTCCCACTGAGGACTGAGCAGGATCCTGAGGAAGCACTACCTGGAAAATCCTAAATCCACCTTTTCTGTCTTCTTTTCTAAAGACATGTGATCAAGTCCCTCCACCCTGGTGTAAAGGCATCCAAAAAAATATTTGTGGCACCCAGTTGCTGCTGTTGAGTAGTGCCTGAAAGTGAGAGGAACTTCCCAGAAACATGTTATCTAAAATACTGAGAACTGCCCTAGTGCTGGTTTCGAATTGGCTCAATTAGCCTGAATGGTGTGGCAGATATCCCCTAACAACAACAAAAAAGAAAAGCTGTTTTCTTTGGTATTCTTCTTTTAATGATATTTTCAGATGTGCTTGTCTGTATGGATTTTTGAGACAAATTCTTTCAAGAATAAATCCAAGCGACCTTCATGCATTTGCTTAGTAAGCTTATCTTGTATGTGGAAAATTGCAAGCAGTCAAGATGGTGAGATTTTTGGAGTTAATATATCTCACTTGATTACCTTCCTCATTAGCTAAAAGCTAATTTAATAAAACTTAAGGAAATGCAAGCACTTGAATTGGTGATGAAAGCATTTAGTGGATTTACTAATAATCTTGGGCCAGCTAAGAGCTGGTTCGGAGAGATAAAACTCTTGCCTGGATAGCAGGAGTGTTTTATTGCATCAGAGCAGCCTTCAGGTTTTGCTTTAAGGCACAACTATAAAAAAGTGCCAACTGTGAGAGATGGTCTTGGGTTGTCTGTGCACTGCCACTCTCTCCAGAGTGGAGAAGGGAATAAAAGAAAGTACGAGGAAGAAATCAGGAGTGTGAGTTCCTGACGGAAGAGTCATCAAAAAATACTTAACTAAGTCTCCATCCCTGTGGGAAGATAAAATACTGAAAGATAAGCGAGTGGGAGGGAGGCAGGAACGTGTGTTATCTGTTGCTGGCTGTTCTCTGTGTATCTTTGTCCTTTCCTGCTGTGATTTGCTCTTTCAGCACATCAAGAAAACGTGGCACGTTGTGTCTGCGCTGGCTGCTGTCAACCCCACAGAGACAGAGCAACCCTTGGGGAGGCATTTGGAGCTGTTGCTCCTCTTTGAGGGCAGTTCAGCAGCTACTGCTGATGATCTGTTGGCATCTAATTCTCTTGTTGACAGGAATAAATAAATAAATACTAATATCTCTAAAGTTCCAAGTCGAAGCCACCTAGCCATCTCATTTGTGGCCAGGAAGACAGATACAGTTTTTCTTAGAATAATCGAGGGAAATTTTGCTTTCTTCATCTGGTGCAAGACATGCTTATTAATATGAAAACCTAGAAGGCTGCCAAAAAATTCTGCCTTGGGCTGTTTGTAATGGGAAATAGGAAGTAGCATCTCATCCTTTTCCTGTTGTAAATGTGACTGCTTTTTTTGTTAAGTTTGCAAGCTTGGACTCAGAGCCGCATCTTTGGGACTTATCAAAGACTAAAATCTTAACTGCCATTTAGGTTAAGTCTTTTTTTTCTAAAGTCATTTATAAAACTAGGATTCTGTTATACATTATGTCAGATAAAATGGAGGCAATTTTGTTTGCTGTTTCTGTCTCCAGCTGCTCCACTTTAATCCAAGCATGTGTTTAACTAAGGATGCTTCTGTAAGTGAGGCTGCAAAAGAGCTGTGAGGTCTCTGATAAGAAGGGAACACCTGGAGTGGGTAACATTCCAAGCTGATGATAAGGTGTTTTCACGTCTGGAAGCTCTGAAACGGGTCTGCCAATTTCTGTGTTTGTCATTAATGTGTCAAACCCCTTCTTCCTAAAACGGACCTGACCCAGTATGCAAGAAGGAACGAAAGAAAAGATTTTTTTATGAAGAGCCAAGTGTCTTGGAGGAAAAGTGATATTTTGATTAAATTCTACAGTGTTAATCTTGATATTTTGGTCGAGGACAGGATCTATGATAATTGTCTGTAGTAGCTTTCCTGTGCTGCATTGCTAGGAGGATGTTCTTGATGGATAGTGAGAGTGGCATCACTTTTGTGGTTCAGGGAGAAGGTCTGATTATTATCGTGTAGTTCCCTGGAATTGACTCTTGGGTTTTGTGTGAGGCTACGTGTAGTGGAGGGCTGCAGCCAGCCTCATTAGGAACAGAGGCTGCAGTATAATTGTATTTGTGAATTTCAATTTGCAGCAAACCAGATACAGATGCGGGAGTGTGGGACAAGCAGATGGTGAAGATGGTCTTGTGCCTCGGCATGCTGTGGTGGCAGGAGCTCAGGATGCTGGTTTTTGTGCAAAATCAAAGGAAACAAGTACTGGTGAAACAAAGTACAGATTGTCGCAGTAGCCACAAGAGGGCTGTCCGGTCCTTGGGATGTAAGCAGCACTGCTTTATTTTTGCCTTTGGCAAGTGTGTAGGCATCAGATCTGATCTCGTCTTCAGCGCAGGTGTGTGCAATTCTCCTTCAGATACAAATCTTGTAAACCTGTTGGAGTCGGATGTACCAGACCATCCTTGCCAAAAGCTGGGTGGTTCGATGTGACTTGGCCTGCTGTAGGTGTAGTTTGTTATCAGACAAGAGTGGATTTTTTTGAGCGTTGTCCTGAAGGTGATGTGGCCAGATCTATTTATTGATTCTGTACAATATCTTGCCTTGTTGCCTTCCAGTTGCACACACTTCCAAGCTTGCTGTTCATGCTGGTGTCATCCAGCTCCTGGACTCTGGGGTCTCTGTAGTTCTCCCTGTCTTTTCCACTTCAGTGCAACAGGAACAATTATCCTTGGTGTTTAATGAATCCAGGACAAAGCCTGCTAAAGCTAATGAGAAACTGTAAGCACAGGTGTAATGAGACAAATTTTCTCCGGTGCCCTGGCTAGCATCTGGCCTGACCCAGGATTGCTCCTCTGGGCAAGTACCTGTTGTTCTCCTGACAAGACAGGACTTGTTCTCTTCTCGTGGCTTTCCTGGGTGACTGCTCATCTCTCCTTCTACCTTGAGTTTTTGTGGTGTGCTGGCAGAAATCTCTGCTGAAGGAAGGGGCTTGAGTCAGTGGGGCCAGCAAAGGATGAGGTGGGCAACTGAAAGAGTTTGAGTTATTTCCTGGGAATTTCTTCCTCGGCCTCATGGTTGAGGGTTTTGAGCCTAGCTGGGGGGTTCAGCTTGGGGTCTTTCATAGTGACAGGATCATATTGACTCTAAAATGTGACACCTGACATTTTTTTTCCCCCCAATTTACAGAAGGTGCAGGATCTCTGCCGTGGCCAGGTGGCTCTGCAGCTAAACCTGGAAAGCCCAAAGGAAAGAAAAAGATTTCTTCAGTTCGACAAAAATTTGATGTAAGTGTCTGTGGTCAAGCGGTCTTAGCTCATCAGTCTCAGGGATGGAGAGGTTTGCACAGTGTGGTTTTCCTTGCTGTTGGGGTGTTTTCATGTAAAACGACACTTCACGCTGGTTCTGAGCTGGAACAGGAGCTGGGAGCCAGTAATTACTGCTGTCATGTGAAGGCTTTTCCGCAGAAGGCTGCGGTGTGTCCTGACTTTAATACACTAGAAAAATTACCGGAGAACACCTGAAAGTCAAAGTTGTACAACCGTTTATTTCAGGAACTGCAAAATTGTAAAAATTGCAAAAAACTGCAGTGCTTTGTGCTGTTTGCAGTTGTAACCTGAATTGTCACAGCAGTGTGTTATTTCTGCTTTAAGATTTCTTGCTTGTTGTGGAAAAGTTGCAATGATCAAAGGAGAGTTTGATAAGCACCATACTGACCATGGTGGGAATCTTAGAATCTGGTTTACTTGAACACATACTAAAAGTGTGACATAATGAGGGTGTGTTTATGCACACGTTTCTGGAATGTTTGGTGGTAAGTACTGTGTAAAAGGTCTGCAATGAGTGGAATTCCTCAGTACTGTGGACTTAGTGCCCTAATGTTCCTGAATAGTTTCCTCTCAGGTCAGAATTACAACTGCATGAATGACCACAGTTTCATTCCGTTTAGCTTCTGCTTTCTCAAACCGTGTTCCTTTTGGAGTCGTCTGTTTTGGAAAAAACTTTATTTTTTTCTCCCCTGCAGGCATACAGGAATGTAGCTTTCCTGTAATGAAAGCCTTCAGAATTGCTGGGATGAAAACCTTTAATGTTATTAGTAGGTGGACTGGTTTTCACTCTGACTTAAATGCCACTTTGTCCTTTGAACGAAGCAGTTCCCCTTTCTTTCCTGAAACTGAGACATCAGAAATCCACTTAGCTCTGTTCTTGTTGTTTATATTTCAAGTCTGAGTTTGTCATGATGCCCTATAGAGCCTGACGGGAATTTTTGTTTCAGAGGAATGAGATTTTTCTGTGTGTGCCTTGCAGAGTGGAGGAATAGGCGTTCTGGGAGTACTTCATGAGCAAGTGTCCTCATTCTCCTGTGGGTCAGGTCTGGATTGACTAGATGTTTGGGACCAAGGCTCAGCAGTCCCTGTTTTTTATTTTTCTCTCCTCCCCTTACCTGGGGATTGAACTACCACAAGCCTTTTGGTAGCTGTGAAAGGGAGTTATACTGCAATGTGCCTGGCCTAGGAACTGTGGGTTGCCACCCGGTGGGATGAATTTGAGTTGCAGGGTGAGGTTCTTTTTATCTCTCCAAATAATTGAGTCCTGTGTAATAGCAATTCTGTGTCTCGGAATACAGTGGCTGTTCAGCAGCAGAGGGCTGCTGAGAGCGAGATGTGAAAGTGCAGAGTGCAGAATCCAAACCTGGAGTATGGTTACCTGCTGCATGTGAAGCCACAGGCTTTTATGAAAGGTAATTTGGGACCTTTGAGAATCACACAAGCTTAGGACCATGGTCTTATTTATCTTGGCAGAGGACTGTGCAGTTGGTAATTGATACATACCCTTTTTGTCCAAAGACAAAAGACTTCTGAAAAAGAAGTGACTACATAGGTGAAAACTCTTCGGTATGTCTGTAAAATCGTGACTGGCCTGGACAGATAAAGAGAGAGAAAAGGAAGAGTGATCACATTTGGGAATTGCAGAAGCATCAGCAGAACGTAGCGGGAGTGAAGCACAGAGCAAACCGGAGGAAATGGCTCTTCATGGAGGGTTGAGTTAGTTTGGGATGTCTTTGCGCAGGATGTTGCGAGCACTAGAGATTTAGATGGTTTAAGAGGCTACTGGGCAACATCACAGCCTGTTAAATAAAAAGATGCCAGCACTGTCTTAGGCAGTTCTTAACTCAAAAAGCTTTTGGAGTTTGGGAAGATATTTTGATGAGGAATGGAGTGTGGTGAATATTACTCTTTGTCTTGGTATGTATTTCCTTAAGTACATGCTGTCCAGTTGGAGAAAGGATATTTGGCAGCATGAACCAAATGAGATATGTCCACACATCTCCCCTCACGTTCTTTATTTTTTTAAATTTTATTTATTTTATTTTTAACAGCATCGGTTCCAGCCTCAGAATCCATTATCCGGAGCCCAGCAGTTTGTGGCGAAGGATCCTCAGGAGGATGACGACTTGAAGCTGTGTTCCCATACTATGATGCTTCCTACACGTGGCCAGCTAGAAGGAAGGATGATCGTAACTGCTTACGAGCACGGGCTGGACAATGTCACCGAGGAGGCAGTGACGGCTGTTGTTTACGCCGTGGAGGTGAGGCTGGGCTGGGCAGTGGTGACATTCACATTACACCAACGCCAAGACAGTCGCTCTGTGTGCAGGATGGACCTACAGCCCGTTGCTGGTGTGGGGGGAGGAACCTGTTTCTCTGACTTCCCAGTTGCCACAGGAGGAATAAGATCAGAATCAAAGGGATTCCAGGTCTGTGGCATCACTGACACAGCCTTGGATTCGTGCCCGCAAATTCCAATGTAGAAATACTTGTGTGTGAAGAGCTGTAGGCACACGTGAGTGGCTGGTTTGGAAAATTCTGTCATTTAAAAGCATTATCAAAAGGACAGCTACAGTTTAAAGAGGTTGTTTTTGCCCATAATGAATTATTTTTAATAGCATTTCTTGAAGTGGTAGGATTGTGTAATACCTGCAGATAAGGGCCCTGCTGCTGCTGGTTTTGGCCATCAGTAGTGTGCTACCTGGCATGCCTCAGCTGGGGCCACGTGATGCCACCGTTACTTGGAGCTTTGGCTTGTAGGTGGTTTCCCTGAGTCACAGTTCAGAGGCTGACCTGAATTCCCCATGCAGGAGTGAGGATCAGTTAAGAAGTGTTACCTGATTTGCTTTCCTCGGTGCTGCCTCTCTCACAGTTTGAAGGCACCTGCACAGTCTGAAAAAGACAGTAAGTGGCTCTTCTGCCATAGTTTTAGGGCAAGTATTCCAGTGTGAGTGTAACGTTTACTCTGAGATCTGCAGTTGGGGATTTCCTGCCATTTGAGAGACCTCTTAACATGGGAAACAGCATTTCACACGTTAAACTATGTCACGGGCTAATACACAGTGCCCTCTTTGTATCTTCTCCTTATAAATAGGATAATGTTTCTATGTAAAGTAGACTGCTGACTTGAAACCTTGCCGATTTACAAAAATAAAGCGGAAGGAAGACTAATGATTGAAGAAATCCAGTGATAGGCAGGTGATGTTCCAAAGATGGACTGGAAATTCAAGCACAGAGTTGTTGACTGGAAGCATAAGGAGCACCAGAGGTCTTCAGTCCCATGTCTGCTTTAGGGCTGACTATCCCCCCAGTAAATCAGGTTGGCCGTGGCTTTGTCTAGCCATTTCCCAGTGAAGGAATGCTGAGTTGTCTCATCTTTTCTTTAATGCACCTGTATGAGGTAGGTAGAACACACTGTATCCTGTCTGGATCTTTGTTCCCTTGCATCTTTCAGGTCCTTGTTGCTGTAGCAGCGCTACTGTCTTGCCAGTTGGCAATGCACTTGTCGCAGCAGTAGCTTGGTAGGATGAGCAAGTTGGCATGAGTAACAAATCTTGTTGTCGTTGCAGAACCACCTTAAGGATATTTTGACGTCTGTAATCTCCAGGAGAAAAGCCTATCGGCTGCGAGATGGCCACTTCAAATATGCCTTTGGAAGCAACGTTAACCCTCAGCCCTATCTGAAGAACAGCGTTGTTGCTTATAATAATTTAATTGAATGGTAAGGAAGCTCAGCGAGCTGTTAACTTCAAATGTAATTTGCTAGCCCTGAAGCTATTCCATTGTTCAGTTCCTCTTTCTATCTAACAGGGTTTGTTAGTAATGCTATTTAATTTTCACACATCAAGAAAGTAGCAGTGCAGAGGGATGTGCTGCTAAATGGGAGGAAAGATGTGGGGATTTCTCAGCAGCAAAGAAATACTTAACATTATTTCTTCCTTGCTTGCACTTGTGCATCACTTTTTGAAGCTGTGCCCTGGCACTGTGAATGTTTTATTAATCGTGACTTGTTTAGAAGCTGTAGGGAGTGCCACAAATTCTGTTGGCCTCAGTGAAGCAGTGCCTGGGGAGAAGAGCCCTTGTTTGTGGGGACAGCTCTGCTGTGCCGTAGGAATGAGGCCTCAGTGAGGCCCTGCAGGACTCTGTCACTCTGTCTCTGCTGCGTGCAAATGTTTGTGGACAGCCTTTCTGGTGAGCAGAGCTGCAAAGTCATCTTGTTTTCCAAAGAGCCAGTGCTGAACTGCTTGCACTGCATATCTGGCATTGTGTACGTCTGTGACAGACCTGCTCTCAGTTGTCAGGTTGTAGGTGTATTAAGGTTTGGTTATAGCAGTACAAACACTACCATTACAATCCACTCCAGATAGCTCTGCTCATGTCTCTTAATTTCATGTTGTGGGTGTCTTACAGTCAGTTTCCACCAAGATTAAACTGCAAATGTAAGAAAATCAGCATCAGCAATAAAGCAGGTCTGATGTTGGGAATCGGTTTGCACTGATTTTGTCAAACTGGCTTTTTGAAGTTCTTAATTACAGCTGGTATAGCTTTATGTAGACAAGGCCTAAATTAACCAGTACAAACAAGTGAAACTCAGGACCAAGCCCTTGCTGTGTTATTTGCAAAGCTACTACTTTTTCTCAACTGAAAAGCTTTGCTGCCTGTTCTCTCTGCAGCCCTCCAACCTGCGTGGCACCTTCTGCTGGTCAGAGCCTGGCTCCCCAGCCCCTGCCCGATGATGCTGAGCAGCAAGCAGCCCTGCTCCTGGCGTGCTCTGGAGACACCCTGCCAGCCTCTCTCCCTCCAGTGAACATGTATGACCTCTTTGAGGCATTGCAGGTAACTGTTCACCTAATGTGTGGTGCCTTAAGGCAGTGCTGTCCTGAATACCAGCTGCCAGTCTCTCAGATGCAATTTAAATGCATGGAGGTGTACTACTCTTCCATTAAGTTTCCCCCTTTCCCTCTCAAATTAACAGCTCAGCTAGCAGCCAGTGGCTTTGACTTATTCACACCATTAACTAACTGGTGACACACAGTCAGCCTGTGTTCTGATGCCTGTTCTGCTCTTGTGTGTCAGGACATTGAAGAAACCCATCTCTCCTTACAGCTGCTCTAGGAAAGGTGGACTCCTCCTCTGTAGCAGGGCTGCAGTGGTCATACCAGAACTGATCCAGCCTGCAGTTCTGACAGAAATGCAGCCAAATGATTTGCCTGTTTTCTTGCTCTGCAGGGCTAGTTCTCTGCTCATCCTGCAGCAGAGACCAGTTCTGCCCCCACATTATGGGAAAACGAATATGAAAGCATGAAACTTGTCTAACATGTATTTCCAGGTGCACAAAGAAGTTATTCCTGCACACACTGTCTACGCTCTGAACATTGAGAGAATTGTCATGAAGCTCTGGCATCCAAACCATGAGGAGCTACAGCAAGATAAAATTCATCGCCAGCGCCTGGCAGCAAAAGAGGGTCTCCTGCTCTGCTAGAGCCAGCAGGCATGTCAGCCCTCGGGTTGCTACGCTGCTGTTCCTTGGACCTGGCACTGGGATGCTTCTTGCAAACCTGTGTCTGCATTTCAAGGAAGATGTAAGTTACAAGTCACCTTTTCCTATGGAAATATGACTGAGGTGTGGTACACTTTCTCCGCTTAATCGGAGCGGTGCGCCGTGGAGTGCTTGCAGCAATCCCACTGAATTGGAAAGGAGAAATGAGATTGGTTTGTAAAGACTTTTTTTTAGGGGGAAGTTTGTTTGTTTGTTTTTCTAGGGAAAAAAATAAATGTGAAGGTAGAAAAAGTTGTTTTTAAAGAAGTTGTATTTGTGTTTTCACTTGTGAGCATGTGGAGTCGGTCTCTTTCTCTCTCAGGAGTACAGTCTCCACAGGCTTTGGAGCCAAACCAACCTTCTATTGCAGTTGGTGGGATCCTTTGCATTCACTTCCCTGGAAACTTCACTTGGGAAGTGAAGATAAGTAATTCTGTAAGCTGACATTGTTCTCATTCTGTTAGGGAAACATATGAACAGCCATGCATTGGCACAATGAAATACAGCAGTGTATGCAAGACTGAGGCTGTACTGATCCACTTGTAGCTGCCCTTTTTTCTTTATTTCAGCATATGTAACTGCCCTGAGTGAGCCATTAGCTCAGAATTTGACCCCAGTGGCTTTCATGGGATGATTTTTAAAAGCAGCGTTGAACCCGGATAACTGGATATGAGATCAGCAAGGCACCCCAAGTACAGACTCTGGGACATGGGAGGGGGATTTCCCCCATAATTATTGTGCTTCTGGTATAAAATGAAAGCATTAAGTTTGTTTGCCAGAAACTTTGGGGCAGCTCTGAGGATTTCGGGTCCGAAGGAAGCATGCAGCCGCTGATGGTATCAGAAGTGAGTCTGAAACAAAATACTACGTATGGTGCAAGAAGCAGCGCTCTCCTGTTTGCTTGTGCTGGGAGAGAGGCTCTGCAAACACAGCCCCCTGCTCTGAAGAGCTGTTGTCAGCTCCACACTGATGACAATGGGTGAACTGGGGCACCTGCTACCCGACCAAGGCTTGAGTAAGGTAATCTGTGTTTCACAGGGGAAATCTTGGTGGCATGGGTTGCATTTATCACACGCTGTCATGTGGGAAGAGGTGCTACTCTTTGAGCATCTTAGTCGGAAGGGAGCTCATGTTCCACCTCCCCTTCCCTAGGAAGGGTGAACTTAAAAGCTGGAGCACCTTACTCTGAAGATGGATGTGCCACCCGCTCCCTGTTCTGGTGTTTGACTGCCCTTGTGAAGTTCTCTGTGTTTAGTCAGAGTTTTTCACATTGCACCTGTGCCTGTTGCCTTTCCATCTCTCTCCTGTGCCCCTCTCTGTAACCCTTATTTGAGAGCTGCAGTGAAGATCCACCTCCTTCCCCTCTTCCCCAGGGTGAACAAACCAGGCTCTGCCTTTCCTCAGCTGGTGTGTGCTCCAGCCTCGAGCACCTCTGTACCCTTCATGGCACTTGCTCTGATCCCTCCCTCTTGTGCTAAGAGCTTAATCTGGACCCAGCACTCCTGATGGCCTCACCGATACTTGCCTGAGGGCCAGGATCCTTTCCCTTGGCCTGGTGTCACCTACAGCCTTCCTTCACGTATCCTCTGTCCCATCATTCAGGTTATTAATAAAATCTTAGATGCTGCCACTGCAGTATTGATCACTGAGTGGCCGCATCTTCAGTAGCAAGAATTGTGTCCTGCATACATAATCCTGTAGGAACCTTGCCCTGTGCTGTAAGTGACCACTCCCCAGCTTCTTGGAGACTGAGTATTTGCAGTGGGAAATTACCAGCTGCTGCAGGAAGAGAGGGGAGAAGGCGCCCGAGTTCTCTACCAGCCTCCCCTGAAAGCCAGAACTCTCCCAGATGGGGAAAGCTGCGTGGTCTGAGGAGGTGGCCAACGCCTCTGGGAGGGTGGAAAGGAGAAAAAACATCCAGTGTGTGTTTATGTGTATTTTTCAGGCGGTTCCAGCTGACATACCTGACCCTCAGTCTGAGGAAGCCTTTCCAGTTGGATGCTGAGGAGGGTCCTAGAGGCAGGAACACGCTTCTCACAAACCCTAACTGGCCAAGCTCTGATGCTGAGACTGCCCTGCTGGTCTGGTAGAAACCTGGTAGAAAGCAAGCAGGTTTCTCAGGGGAGGAACTTAACTGGTGACTCTGTGCCACCTTCCTCATATCGGGCTGACCTTGGCCTCTAGGATACTTCTAGCAGAGAGAGGAAAATAAGGAAACGAGAGCGCTTGCATTTAAGAAGAAACCACAAACTCTGCATTTGTGTCACTTCACTGTGAGCACCAGCAGAGCTGGGGCTGCAGAAATGCCCCGCTGTCCAGCAGCGCCAACCTAGAACAAGAAAGGAGGCTTTCTCATCCCAGGCATCCGCCCGGGATGCGTGTGACATGTCACGGCAGGCAGGAGTTGTGAAAGCGAGGCTCCCTGAAGCGGCGCCTCTCCCCGCTGCTTTTCTGAGAAGCAGCCGCAGCGAGAGGCTTGCGGGGGCTCTTCCCTTTCAGGAACTTGTAGGTGACGGTGGGTGTGCCTCGCTGGGCTGAGGTGACGCGCGGAAGGGTTGGCAAGCGGTGCCGGGGCAGGAGCACGAGGTTCCCGGCGCGGTGCAGCTCGCGGCGGCGCCTGGAAGGAAATCCCTGCCGAGAGGTTTGCTCGTGGTGTCACCCTTCTTCCCCAGGGCGGTTGCTGGCGTGGTCGGGTTGGCAGGAGGAGAGGAAGGCTTCACAAGTCTGCCTCGTGGTTACTGCAGCAAACGCCCCAATGCGCCGCTCTGCACCAAAAGCTGTCTCTGTCCTTTGCTCCCTGGTAGGAAGAGGCAGGTTAGAAAAGTGGTCAAAATTCTCCATGCCCTGAGGAAGCTACAGGTTTGCAGAAATGTCCCCTCTGGACACCGCTGAGGTTATTTATTAACAAAGAGCACGAAGGGAATTAACAAAGAGCATGAAGCCAGGCCAGGGGCATTACTGTCTTGTGCCCTTAGATATCTCTCTTCTTCAGGTGTAGTGACCTTAATTCATGCTGCTGGTTGAAGCCATGGCCCTTCAGCTTCTCTTAATATTTTGCATCTTCCGGGGATTCCTGGTGCTTGGCATGGGCATCCTCATGGAGACACTGCTCACCTGAGGGTATGTAGTGTTACACAAATGACACGTGGGTTTCTTCCAGGTCCAATCCCAGGCCTTTGGTCAAATCCAGGTCGCCACCAAGACACTTCTGTTACCTGCCTTTGGCTCTGGAACTGAGTTTGATTGTGGTCAGAGGCACTAATGGAATGCTGAGTGCTCCAGGTTTGGTGACAGGGTAACCACAGAGGAATCTTCTCTACCGGAAGGTTTCATCAGAAAGATCTCAGACATCAGCTTGATTATCACCTCTCTGGGTATGTGTTGTAATGGTTGGTTGTCATTAAAAAGTGTTGTTTCCATTTGAATTTCTGAAACTTCAGTTTCTCGTCGGTGGGTTTTGTTATGTCTTTGTTAAATTTAAAAGCTCCTAGAATCGGATACCTCCTTCCATGCAATGACACAGCCACTTCTGAAGTTTCTCTCTTCAAATTGAGAAGGAGCAGGGGCCGCTCTCATGCCCCCGAAGGGCTGCTGTCCTCACCATGGAGCAGTCCATAACTTGTTCAAACCCTCTGCAGGTTCCAGCAGTGGGATAGGTAGGCAAAGGCCACCTCCCTTGTCCTGCCTGGTGCACAGCCAGCAGTGGGAAGCTACAGCAAACTATCAGCTGCTGTGACCCTGGCTGAGCAGCTCTCCAGAGCAATTCCTGACCTTGCCAGCACACCCCAGGTAACTGGAAAATCCTGTTTATGCCTTTCAGTTCCATCTCGGGCTGCCCAGGAGGGGTAAAGGCCCTTCAGGGAAGAGGTTTCCACCTAGTGTTATTCTGATGTTGGGGCTAGACGTCGGTCTCTGAGACGCTGCCGGCAGGGCTTGGTGTGGAGCCCCAGCGAGGTGGTGGCTGTGAGCGGAGGAGCTCAGCCAGATCTTCCCTTTGCATTGTGGACATCATATTTATATTGTTATTTGATTTAAAATGCTGATGGCAGCAGATACTCTGTGCTAGGGAAAAGCAAAATTTCAAATGTTTTCCACCGAGACTTTCATTTCTTACTGAAATGCTGTTTTCTCAACGAGATCACAAGGCACCTCAGCTTGCTTCGCTTTCATCTCTGTCCCCAAACCCTCCTCTTCAAAGCTGGCAAATCTGTTTTTTTGATTCCACAGCAGGGCTGGATGATGCGGTGTCCTTGCAGTTTGCTGCCAAGTAATACCCCCACCCCCGGCTTCCCCTCCGTGCTCACCCCCCGGGCCTGGAAAAGGGGAAGCGAGAGCTCGGCTGTCCTTGGGGCTGCGTGTCCGCCTGCTCCTCTGCAAGGAGGAGCCCTGGGGGAGCTGGGCTCACCCCTGCCTCTTCCACGAGTGCCTCGGTGGGGAGCACCTTTGGGTGCAAAGCCAGCCCGACCCCTGCATCCCGCTGCCATGGGGTGGAGGAGGCGGCTCGTGGGAAGCCTGCGGCGGGGTCCCTGCGCTATTCTATGTGTGAGTCTCAAGCGGGCGCTGCCCGTTGTGCCCACGTGGGGCGAGCGCCGCGTCCCGCGGTGCCGCTTTGTCCCTCCGCCCGGGCTGTCTCGGTTTCGCTGCTGCTGGCTGCGGGCGCCAGCCCTGCTGGTGACGCACTCGAGCAGCGCTCACCCCCGGGCGGGCATCCTGTTTCCAAAACAGCCCGCGCAGCCCTGGGCACCCCTGTTCCCAAGGGAACCGGGAACCCCGTGTTCCCGGGTGGGGGGAGCTTGAGAGCGGGAGGAAAGGAGAAGGTGGGAATAGTTTGTTCTGAAGAGTGTGAAAGAGAGAGGTGCAGGAGCGATGTTGGACCATTCCTGTCCAGCTGCTCCCATGAGTGGAGGGGTTAGGGCAGCCGCTGCCGTGGGAGCTGCCGTGCGCCCCTTGCACCGGCATCGCTCCCACGTGCAGGGAAAGCCGCGCAGCGCCGCTCTGCAGCCCGTGTGGGCTCCCGTGTCCCTCGGCCAGTGACGGCTGTGCCGACCTTTGTAGGGTCTGAGGCTTCGGGCCGCCCACGCGTGGAAAGCAGCGAGTGGGGAGGGGGGGGAGTGGGGAAAATACACCCAGCTGCACC